GCAGATAGCTGAAGAGAAAAAGGCTCTGGGAATTTATTACTTTGGTTTTTTACAGGGAGAATAAGAAAGAAAAGGCAGCACCTCTTGGCAAACAGTTATATTAAGTGCAGTTTGCAAGAACTGCCTATGAAAAGAAGTTGAAAGGATTTTGATTGTTCATGTAGAAAGGAGACGAAGAAGAGCTAACGTGGTAAAAGAGAATTAAAAAGGATGTGGTTGCAGAAGGTAGCTTGGGAATGTCTGTTCTGCTGCTTCTAATGACAGGACTTGGGACTATTCATGTTAATAAAAAGTAGAAAATGAATACGCAAAATGCAATCATTTTTGTTCTATATATGACTGTGGAACTCACTCCGCTAGAAATGTTTAAGACTTAACATTCAAATTAGAACCAGTCACTCACACAGGTATGAAGAATAACATTAACAGTAACAACTATATAGAGAAGGATAATAAACACTGCACTTAAGTTTCTCAGCAATTATTAGAAGCAGCAAGGTGGGGAGTAAACTGCTTGTTAGAGAGTTCTTACATCTAAGTCAGAAACCTTTCATGTCGGCTTCTGCCAGCCAGCACTGTGGACCATAGCTATGGTCCGGCATCACAATTTATATTACAGCTGCTACATAGACAGCATCACATCAATGGATTTCAGTTTAGCTTCCTGGTAATTTTGTTAAACACTTGCCAGTGACTGTGACTTGATTCTGTTCAAGAGTTACTCTTTTGAAGTGTTTTTCTTTTCTCTAAAGAAATAAAATACTCTGAAGTTAATCAGGGACCTTGTGTGCTTTTTTACATGTCACAAGGTCAGGTATCTTGGGCTGATGACAGGGTTGCAAATGGAGACAAAGTGGTCAGAGGCTGCACTAATCCCTGGTATGAGGGATATGGAGGACCAGCAAATAAAGCAGGGCCTATGTTAAGTGGGTGGGCAAATGCTTTTGAAAAAATCCTCTAAATAGACTAATTCCTCTTTTTCCTACATGGACCTGGCTAACATTGTTTTGTGTTCACCCTGGGTGCTTTGGAGCTGATCCTGGGAGTTTTGCCTTCCTGAGAGCCACAGGACCAGACACTCTGCCCATGTACCTGTGAAAATATTCCTTGGGTTCAGCCGAACAAAGTGAAATATCCCATGCTGCCCTCTGTCTTTGTTATTGCTTGCTCACCCTAAGTCCTATGTGTAGCTGCTGCTAAAGGAAAGTTTGAGGAAGTCTGCCTGCCACAGAAATACTTTCAGGATTGCCTTTAAAAAATCGTTCTGGAGATAGATTTATATTTTGTTTATTTGCTTTCCTACTAAATATTCCTGCCTCTCACACTCACACATGCTCCCTCTGCCTAAGCCCAGCATTCTTCAGTCTGAGCTCAGATGCCGCAGCGACGGGCACAACCACACTGCATGAAACGCTGCAAAACCTTTCCGCAACAAGTAACTTCAGGAGGGTGGTTTGTGTTCATTGCTCCAGTAGAATGAAATTCAGCATTTCAATGAAAACAGGCAAGCAGTGTCTCTGGGCAGCACACAGCTTCAGAACAGCTTTGGTGTAGTTGGCAAAAAAAAAAAAAAAAAAAGAAATGGGGCTATTGCTTATAAGCAGTTTTTGATTCAGGCTCACTGTATATATGGATGTGCGTACACGTGATTTTCAACTTGTCCTACTTAGTGACACAGCTACAGGTGGGATTCCCAACCCCTCCACCTTTTACAGAAATCAAATGAACGTGTCTTAGTTTGTTCCCCTGCAGAAAGGAGGGAGTTTAGGCACACAGGAACCCCATGCATTTGAATTCTGGAAGTGTCAAAGGAAACAAAAAGTCGCTTCCCTCCCTGTTGGGGTCCAAGGTTTTGACCTGAGTCACAGGCAGAGACTGAAACAGGACTGTGATAACCCTGTATGGGAGTGGAGAGCCTCCGGCTTTTGCTCGGTCCCCAGCCCAGAAGCAGCCTCTGGTACCGAGGTGGGACAGGTGGAATTTGAAGGAGACAGAAAGAATAATGTCTCAAAATATTTATTTTACTTGAATGCTTAGACAAGACCCCTTCACACCTCAGGGCACATCCTTATTTGGCAATATTCAGAAATAATTAATAATAATAATAATAATAATAATAATAAAAAGGTCTAGCTCTCCACATGTGTACTGAAGGCTGCAAAGCTGTAAAGTAAGGATTTCTGCTTTAGTGTGGGCAATTTAGCTTGACACTGGCTTAAATTGCCTTCAGTGAGGAGCAAAGAGCTTACACTGACCATGGCTCCAGCCCTGGGACTGCAGGTCAGGCCAGCAACCAGGGAAAAAGGGCATCATGGTGCCTGAGTGAGGGGCAGAAGCCCCCCTACCATCTCCGGTTAAAAAAATAGAATAGCAGAGAAATCCTCTTTTTAGATGAAGGCACCTGAGACAGCTCTGGCAGGATGCATTCGTGCTGGTGTTCCCCACGGGTCACGGTGCGGCAGCAGATTTGGGCAATGAGGTGGCCCCGTCTCAACAGCAGAGAGGTCCCTGTGGGAGAGGGCAAATTCATCACGCGGGATGGCCCCACACAGGGCAGGAGAGCCCGGGGAAGGTGGGAGCAGTGGCGATCGCCTCCTCGGCAAAGGCGAGCCAGGCCTGGGCTCCTCTCTTTGTCCAGGGCTGCGGGTGATGCTGTGCAGTCCATGCAGGCAAGGCAGAAACCGAAAACTATCCTCACCCCAGGGTCTCCCTGGTGGATCTGTTTTGCCACACTCAGCTCTTTTCTTTTTAACACTGCTTCCCCTCCCCTCCCCTTGAAGTTTTTCAGTCTTGACCAGCAGTTTCAATATCACCTCTTCAAATGTCACCTGCCATCCCCTCCTTCACTGGGGTTGCCCTTCCCCAGATCATTTCTACACACTTTAAAAAAAAAAGAAAAAAGAAAAAACAGCCAAAATCACCATCGTCACCACATCCTTCCCTCTTAATCTTGAGCAGTGCATCTGCCCTGGCTGGGACGGGCTCACGGCCAAAGCCCAGCGGAGGCCGCACGGGGGACCCGTGGCCGGGGGGAAGCCGCGGGGCAGGCAGGGGCCACAGTGCCGCAGGTGGCTTGGCCTGGGGGGGGGGCCACAGTTTGACACCTGCCTGTGGCCATGGAGGAACCAGGGCCTTGGGGGGGGGCTCCTGAAAAACCCACAGAACCTGGGGGTTCTGCCCCGTGCCGTCTTCCCAGCAAAGGACTGTCTGGGCTCGGCTGCCAAACACGATGGAAGCAAGAGCTGTTTAGAAAATACTTATAAATATCCATATTTATGCATACAAGCAGATATGTATATTCATATATAGATGTATGTATATTTATATGTGCTTATATAGATATAGATAGATACGCACACATGTACGTGCATCTGTAAGAGCCTGCCAGGCCCGGCACCCGGTGCAGGCAGGAGAAGGGGCGGTGGACCCCAGCGGTGGCACCCTGGCAAGCCAGGCACCCGGCTCGCCTCCCCACGGAGGGCCACGCCGCACCGGCCACGGGCCCGGCCACGGGCACGGGTGCGGGATTGGGCCCGCGGGGCCAGGGAGCGCTGCAAGGGTTGGGTGGGAGCTGGGGAGGGGACCGGGAATGCCCCAAACTGCCCCAGGAAGAAGAGATCCCGCTCCACGAAAGGGACCTGACAACCCCCCGCTTCAAAATTAAAAATAAAATTTAAAAAGAAAAATTAAAAATTGGGAGGGTTACGTAGGGGTAGGTAGGAGTATCTTTTTTCTTTTGGCAGCGCACGTATGAGATGAAGGTAATTTGGGTGCTACGAATACAAGACGAAAATACACCTAATTCCATCATCATATAGATATAATATATTTCACTCTCACCACATAAATACAAAACATCCAAATATCCAAAACATTCAGAACAAAAGTTAGTAGCAAGGGCTCAGCGCTCGATTCATTCATTATTTTTTTCGACTAGTTGTCTAGAAACTTCAGACGTAAATAATTTACAATAAAATTACTATTTTCTTTCTGTCCAGCTCCTTCTGTCCAGTTCTGGTCTATAATTAATTCTATATACTACAGCAACCATTCCACTTTTTGTAAATTTTTTTTTTTTTGGTTACAGTTTGGTGGCACGTATTTATACAGTTTGTAAACGCCATGTGTTAAAGTTTAAAGAAAGAAAAGAAACTTAAAACCAAAGTAAAGAATTTTTTTTTTTTCCAAAGAACTAGCTAAGTACAGTATCCCTTTTCTGGCAAATTCAAGTACCGAAATTGAACAGGAAATATTCGATCTGGAATACTAAAAGATGAAATACATATGTTTGTGGAGAAAATAGCAGGAAGAATTATGAAGGGAAAAAAAAAAAGGTTGTTACATAGATGTATTTCAAAGTACAAAAATAACAATAAAAGATACGCTTTTTATATTTTACGTTCGTTTTAAATGAAGTGTGAGCGATATACGAGAGGGTTATTTTAGGAGGAAGGAAGGCTAAAGGTTTTTTTTGATTTAGATGCGCGTTGAAATTATTTGGAAAAATCAAAGAGAAAAAAATAATAAAAAAAGAAAAGAAAAATTACCATCGCAACAGATCTGGATGCAAATCGAGTCGCGACTTCCATTATTTATCTGCAGATTTGCTTTTGCAGATAAGGTCCGCAGGACTGGCCCGTGGGAACGCAAGGAAGGGAAAAAAAAAAAAAAAAAAAAAAGGGGCGTTGTGTTATCTCGAAGGGAGAGACAGTTTTACTCAAAATCTCTGCAGCCACTGGTTTCTGTCTCCCCGCTTCGTGCGTGTATTTTCAAGGCAGTCCGTTCCGGCCCTTCCCACATTCAAGATTTCTGGTGAAAAAATAAAAGTTGCTGGACGTTTTCCTGGCTGGTATTAAGGGCAAACGGCAAGGACGCTACCCGGGGAGCGCAGTGCAGTGAGAGGGGGAGAAACGGGGGCCGCAGGTGGAGCCCCCAAACCTTCGTGCTTAGGAGTCACTGGAGTGGGGGGGTGAGGGGGGGACACGGGGACCGCCCGGGCATCACCTGGCAGCTCCATCTTCCTCTCTCCGAAATCCTTCTCCCTCGCTTGACATTGGCCACAGCCGCTCCGAAAAAGCCCGGCCAAACCGCACCCCGTCCGCTCTCCCTCTCCGGCCCTTTCCTGACGGTGTCAAAGCAAACGAACAGACAGAC